TGCTCAAGGCTGGTGCTCTATCACTTGAGCCACAACTCCATTTTTTTTCAGCTTTTTGGTGGTTCATTGGAGATAAAAGTCTCATGGACTTGCCTGCCTGGGCTGGCTTTGAACCTCAATCCTCCGATCTCAGCCTCCTGAGTGGCTGGGATGACAGGTGGGAGCCACCCGTGCCCGACTTTGGCATTCTTTATTATGTATTGGTGGATCTATATGCAAACGTTAATTTGGTTGTAAAACCACTCAAAGAGAACAAAGACTTTGGTGCAGTATTTGCAGGCAACAGACTCCATTAGCTTATTATTTCTTTCCATTAGTGATAGCCAGGAAAGAAATCGATAACCCAATTATGGCCCCTTGTAAATACGTTAATGAGGAGTCTGGTACTAATGACATTTACCAGGACAAAGGTACCGGGCCGTCTTCATGCATGAAATTGGTTGTTGCTGTTTCTTCCATCAAAGTTGCTTAACTGTAAATAAATCTGGAATGAACAGATCTATAGAGGGTCGGATTATGGAATGTTCTAGAAGTCAGGGAATTGATGGTTATGTGCATTTTGAAGGGATTCCCAATCACTGTTTCTCCGTCTGCTTTACCCAAATCATTCTAGGGGAAATCTGCAATGCTCTCGGTTCTGATTTAGGTGAGAAAGGAATTTGGGAATTGTGATGTTCATCTTGGAGAGCTCCAGGAAAAAAAAATAATAATAATATTTGGTCTCTCTTTAGCTAACACCTGTGGGGCCTCTCGAAATGTGGCTAAATTTGGTGCTGGGTAAGAATTTCCATTTCAAATCTATCATTTGTATGAATGTTAATGGAAACTTTGATCTTTCTCCAATCTGAGAGCGTCACCATAAGCAGGCTGGGCCCGAATGCTGTGTGAACACTTTATTGTAGATAAATCTAAAATTGATGAAATTATGGGCTCACGGGTAGACGGACTGTCAGAGAAGCTGCATAATTATTGCAGCACCAGTTGGAGAGGTTCTGGAAGCAAACTGGTTCTTTCCTGCAAGCCATGATGGAAAGGCGGCGCTCAGATGCTACAGACTTCCAGCACGTGCTGGTGTGGAATGAAAAGATACTCAGGGTTCAGGACCTGGCCAGTGGATGACGCCTGTCATCCCAGCTACTTGGGAGGCTGAGATCTAGAGGATCGTAGTTCAAAGCCAGCCCCTGGGCAGGAAAGTCCATGAGACTCTGGTCTCCAATGAACCACCAGAAAACCAGACGTGGAGCTGTGGTTCAAGTGGTAGAGCGCCAGCCTTGAGTGAAAGAGCTCAGGGACAGCGCCCAGGCTCTGAGTTCAAGTCTTACAACTGACAGTTTTTTTTAAAAGTTAAGTTGTCTTCAAAATGAATCCCCCATCTTCATAATGGTGGGGGGGGGAGGGAAACCCTTTTTATCACTTTTAGGATTTGCACTGGGTAATTTTTAGGGGGGGACAGTGGGAAGATCTACAGCAGGCCAAAGCATCCACGGGTATTTTTAGAGGCTGAGTGGGCCACCCTATTCCTTATCTCCCTGAAAAATATTTGAGGGCGAGGATTTATTTTTTAAGGCAGCGGAGCAAGATCCCTGACAGTTAAGCTCGTGAAATTTCTTGGTATTCGCTTCCTTGGGAGATTTCCATTTCAAACACCTCCTCTCCCCCAATTGATTTGAGAGACAAAAAGCAAAGGGGGTGGGAATGAGATTTGAGGAGAAGTAACAAAGGGTAGCAGGAAGGAAGGAAGGAAGGAAGGAAGGAAGGGAGGGAGGGAGGGAGGGAGGGAGGGAAAGAGAGAAAGAAGGAAGGGAGGGGAGGAGGAAGGAAGGAAGGAAGGAAGGAGAGAAAAGAAGAGAAAGAGAAAGAGAGAAAGGAAGGAAGGAGGAAGGAAGGAAGGAAGGGAGGGAAGGAGGGAGGGAGGGAGGAGGAAGGAAGGAA